AGTATCCTCTTTGAGCAGCTAGGAGGGTCTTCTTCCTAGGGGAGTTTCCCTTATTTTTTGGAGTTAAAAAGTTTTGTTCTTCATTTCACAGAGATGGAAATACATGACATAATGCACTTAGAAATGTGCTGCTACAAATAAACTTGATCTTTTGAGTATTTTCACAAAGAGGGAGTTCGACAGTACTGCTGAGGTACGAGGAAAAACCCTCCGGAAACCTCCGTAATATGCAGCATCCTTCTCCTAGAAATCAGTGTGCCTTCAAGAAATGTAATAAAGTACACATTCTGTGTCTGTCTCTCCCTGCCTCCCTTTTAATACCTAAATCACCTCTAAAGGAAATGATTCTTAGAGAGCAACTCCTAAAAATAAATATAGGCCTGGAGTTCACTACCTTTACACAATGACAATGTGATTCTCAAAAAGATCTCTTAGGAGTGCAAAGAGGCATCATGTGTATTGCCAAGACCAATTTAGTAAGTTGTACTAATGACACCAGACTTCCGGAGGTAAGAAACTGGAAGACAGTATTAATTTCTCTGAGGAACTCTGATACTGGATTATGTTTTTAGAAAATTGTTACATTTCTTTGAAAGAAACATGATACACAGCTGTTCCAACAAGGTAAATACTTCATAAGCAGTACGTTGGATCAGGGCTCTTCTTGGGTCAATATCATTCTCAGTTACCACTACAGGAGAACCTGTATCAAAATAACAGTTCACTCCAAGAGATTCCTGCTCTGCATCAGCATCTCCTAGACTTTAAAGGAGCTGTCAGCTAGCAGAGCTCTTCCAGTCTTCACCAAACCTTTAGACACAAAACTAGCACCTCCCAGTGCAGAATTTTACTTCGATTCTGAGGCAGCACTTCTGGAATTAAAGCTGCTGCTTTATTATAGCGTCCAAGATTTCACTCAAGGTAATCACATGTAAAGCTGTCATGACTGGAATTATTCTCAGAAAGCATCTGGGAAAAGGTAACCCTGTAGGGAGCTTAGCTTCATGCTGGTTCTGTAACAAATTTTACTCTCCACCAGAACACCTCCAATGATATGCTCGATCAGCCAGTATACTTTTGCACTGATCACATACATGATCTTTGATCAAAATGCCTGCCACACCACTGACACTACGTTGGTGATGCATATCAGCTTACTTGACTTGTAGCAAAGAGCATCTTCTCACTTATCTGTACATAAATTCACAAATCTGTCGCTCATCAGGTTTCATACTGTAAAAGTCTCATAGAACATGGGGACAGATCTGCAGACCATTTTGACACACTGATTCTCTACAAGTCTCAAACACATTTTTTTTTTTCCAGTTACTCTCATTTCCCAACTGCCCAAGAAAGTATCCCATCAACATCTGTGTAATCATCACTATCAGTCTTGGAATCCAAGAGCCCCTTTAAAATTTACTGGTTCCATAAATCCTAGATGACAGCAGTAGGACAAAGCAACTAACTATCAAGATAGATATGATAATCTTACATTCTTAAGTATTCCATCACTACAGCCAAGCATTTTTCCGACTCAGCAACAGAATGTGATGGAAAGTCAATCATAGGGATACTAAATGGGACCAGCAAACTCTCAAAATACTTTCACAAGCCATATGAAAATTACCTGGCAGCAGGTGATCTGCCAGAAAAGAAAGTTGTTCTTTGATAGTCAAGATATAAACTAGGTTAACTGCCATTTTTTTTAGTATTTAGTGGTATCAGAAAACTGTTTACTGTCTGCTGGAGCTGCCTAAATGAAACAAGAAGGCCATTTCACTTACTAAACTTTTACAAAAATTCTTCTGAAGAAATAAGAAAGACACGTAGGAATTCAAGACTAGATACTGTACTTAGTTTGTCTTTCTTCACAATAGTTGGTATGGTGTTATATTTTGGATTTGTGACCAGTGTAGATAACACAAGAGATAGTTCAGCTATTGCTGAGCATTGCTGGCACATTGTCAAGGCTCATTCTGCTGTCTCACACTGTCCCACCAGCAAGTCGACCAGGGGAGCACAAGAAGCTGGGAGTGGACACAGCTGGGACAGCTGATCCCAACTTACCAAAGGAAGATTCCACACAATACAATTGTGCTCAGTAATAAAAGCTTTGGGGAAGAAAGAGGAAATGGACACACACACATTCAGAGTGACAGCATTTGTCTCCCCAATTTGCCATTATGTGTAATGGAGCCTGTTTTCCTGGGGATGGCTGAACACCTGCCTGCCCATGGGAAGCCGTGAATTAATTCCTTATTTTGCTCTGCCTGTTAAACTGTCTTTATCTCAACCCATGAGTTTCCTCAGTTTTACACTTCCAGCTCTCTCTGCCATCCCACTGTGGGAGGGTGAGCGAGTGTCTCTGTGGTGCTGCATGGTACCTGCTAGCCAAGGTTAAACCCCAGCGTTATAGATGAGACAGCCACAGCTGTCTTGAATCCCTGTGAACACTCTGTCTGAACACTTTGCTTTTTTACTGAATATCATTTTTGTGATACTGTTTTTAGTTATAAACTTACTATGTGTTAACCATTAAAAATGGAATTATCTCTTGTCAGTTGCTGTTTAAAAGCCATTTTTTTTTGAATGAACAGAAAAAAGTAGGGGAGGAGAAAGATTTCTTTTTCCCACATTAGAACACTTAAAAATTTTTAAGACTCTCTGACAAGTCTATGTTTATACCAGTCTATACATTATGGTTGTCTATGTTTTAAAGATTTAAAGGATTTCAGGTTTTGCAGGAGCTGGTCACTTTAGTGTCAGGACTAAGGTTTTTTTTAGAGGTTATTCTGTCCTCCCGGGGTGATGCAAGAAACAATCCGTGTAACTGCTTCCACCAGCTGCTGTAGATCTCTCTACCAAGACACTGACAGCACAGCTATCAGCTTCTTGTTGCTTGCAGTGGTCTAAGCAAATGCATTTGGAAAAAGCATGCAGCTAGAGGAAAGATTAAGGAAGAAACATGCAAGTGGAAATATTAGGATGAAATAGAAACGTGTGGCTTCGAAAGAAGGAGGAAAAAAAAGCTGTTGCATGATTTGCTTTGGTGTAATAAAAGGTAGACTGAGATGGGAAATGAGATGGGGTAGCTAGGGAAACAGGAAAGTGGGGTAAGGACAAACCTCAAAAGCCCCAGTAAACAGCGCCCTGTGCATCAGGAAAAAGAATAAACGTCCAAAAGCAGTTAGAAAGGATCCCAAGACACTTGACCCTCATCATTCGTTGTTGGTCAGTACATGACAGAATTGTAAAAATCTCCTAACAAAACATGCATGACAGGTCCATCAAACTCATCTATACAGAAGCTGCAGGTTATCATTCTCCAGCCATTAGTCAAAACACACTCTGCGGTAGATCCAAGAGCTCCAGCCTTGATCCTAATAACACTGACACTTTTATGATTTTTCACAACAGAATTTTCTACTCTCAACACTATTATGATTTTTAAACTGTTAAACTCTATTAAAGTTGTAAGCTTACCACTTAAAACTAGGAATTAAAAAAGTTATTGTCACTACCATGAATACCGTTCAATGCAATTGGAACAGTATGCACATCCGTTTTTTCACCTCTGGAGATGTTTCCGAAATCTGTACTGAGAGAGTTGGTGCTCTAGAGAAGGCAATGATAAATGGATCACAGATGGAGCTCATGGTCAAACTACTCTTGGTAGTTCACCATCTACATCTGCTTTCAGACTGTGGTCTTTCCCCACTGCCATACAAGCCCTTTTGCAGCACAAGAGTCACTAGTAAAGAAACCACAGGAACGCACTACCTCAGACCAAAAGTTCCATAGCTATTTTCCACATAGGACCATGGTGTTTGTCCTCAGAACAGTGTTTGTCTTCAAAAAAATAGCCCGTGTATGCATAGAAAACACATTTTACATATTTTTGTAATTTTACATGAATTAAAATATAACCTTAATTCTGAATTTGCAACCTCAGTCCTTTTATAGTGACATATGTGAAAATTCATAATTATACATCCCACTAAATTTATGGATTTTTCTAGGGTGCAGGAACCATATTTCCCCTGAAAAAAAGACTGGGAATTAAGACTGGCCAAGTAAAACATTGTTAAGATCTGTCAAATCAAAACGGTATGAAAACCTGGAAGAGTTTGTCTTCAGTTCTCTGTGCCACAGTAACACACTCAAGACACAAGTATACGAAAAATCAAAAACACCAGGCTCAACTTCCCTTCATAAAGGATGCTGCCAACAGAATCTGTATTTCAAATAATGACACAGGGTGAAAGGGCTGATAACATTCATTCTTAAGCCCAAGGCCTCTGCTGCAAAAATGTAGATCCTGCTCCCAAAGACAGTATAAAATAAACTTGGCATACAGAAAGCAAGCCACTTGCACCACTGATTTCCAGTCTTAGTAGACCCCATACTGACAAACTGCCTAATCACAGCTCTTGACATTTTTAATGAAAAAAAACCCCACCCCTATCATTACCACGTTACATATGCCACGGTCCAGAGTTTCTCCCTGTCACAGGAAACTTCATTTTCCAGGTAAATGCCAACTGTTTCTTGTCACCCCTGGCTACCCAACCTGTTTTCTCTGAACTAGTTCAGCTGAAGCGTTATTTGTCATAATGCTGTCACTTCGTACGAAGCTCTGCGTGAACCTTCCACACTACAGGAAATTCTATCGGCAACTGTCCTAAGTACAAAGAAGCTGAACTCAGGTTTTGAGCTGCTCCATTTGCAAGCCGGCATTCTCTGTTAAAGCAAGGTTCGGACAGCACCAGAGGCGAAGCGCAGCCAAGGCGCGTCGGTGCCCGCTACCCGCGGCGCTCCGGTGACAGCCCGTCCGTCCGTCCCGAGGGGTGACAGGGACAGCCCGTCTCTGCCGAGGGGTCACAGCTCCTCCCGGGTCCCTGGCTCGCCTCCCGGCCCCGGGCCGGCCCCACGCAGGGTCACCTCTGCGCCACAGCCCGGGAAGCGGTCCCGCCGCGGAAGGACGCGCGCACACCTACCGTCTCCTTGGCAGCGGCCGCCACGGGGATAGGGAGCAGCGCCCGGGCCCCTGCCGGCTCCCGGGAGGGCTCCCGCCGGCGCTCGGACAGCCGGTACCCCGCGAACCCGGCGAGAGCCGCCCCCGCCGCCGCCCAGCCCAGCTCCCGCCGCCACCGCCGCGGCCCCGCCGGCCCGGCCCCGCCGCCGCCCCACAGCCGCCGCGCCGGCGGAGCGCCGGGAGCGGGCCCCAGGCGGCGGCGCCACCGCAGCAGGGAGCGCAGGGCGGCCATGGCCCCCTCCGCCCCAGCGCCGGGCGCTCCGAGCCCCCGGTGCCGGCAGAAGCCTCGCGAGAAGCGGCGAAGGGGAGGGTAACGGAGCGGCCCCGGAGGCCCCGCCCCGGCCGCGCCGCCGTGCGCCCCGCGGGCACCGCGCCGGCTGGGCCGGGCACGGGCAGCGCCGGCGGCGGGAGCTGCGCTGCCACTGGCCGGCAAGGTAGGGGAGATACGAGGTGATCAAGACCAAACGCGAAGAACGGGCGCGGCCCTGGATCCGCCCAGTTCAAGCGGGATGCGTGGGAACTGCCGCGACCGCGGGCAGAGCTTGCGGTGTGCCGTGGGTCCTCGGTAACGTGCTCCAGAGCCTCACCTCGTGATTCCAGGGCCGTGCTCCCAAGGGAGCGTGCCGCACGACCCAGCCAATGTATATTTGCCATGTCGGCAGCCTCTCCTCTGATAAATACTCTTGGCGGCAGGTAGCCTCTTTAGCATAACCAGGCAGTAGTTAAAGACCAATGGTGAAAGATGAGCGTGTTCTTTTGTCCCTCTTGGTGCTGATGGGCAAGACACTTCGTCAGGCATTTCATATTAGGCCATTCTTCCATGGTACAACCTGCCTCACCACCTAGGTTTCCTTGAAACTTCATAAACTGCAAACAAACACTTCAAGACACAGCACATTTTTTGCAATGGCCAGGTACAGCCTCAGTCTTTTTCTTTCGTGCATAACTTTTTTCCCACGTTTCAGCCTATTATCCCTCCCCCCACCCCACCCCAAAATCTTTGGTGGCTTTTTTATTATGAAAAAGATTTTGGAAAATACACAAACTGTAACTCATTTCGATAGCTTTAAGACACTGTCATGCATTTTCATTTTCTAAAAAAACATTTCAGTGACACAGTGATAACTGTGTCAAGGGAAAAGTGTGATCATGTTTGTCAACAGACAGTCTGTCAGATCATGCAACTCTAAGCATGGCCAAGGTTGAATTTCTTCAGAGCTACAGCTGGAAAGGCAGGTATCTGGGCTGAGTGATAGATTTACTGCATTTCTTTAGTATTTTAGGATGCTGTAAGCAAATTCATCCCCCAAGTAATTCCCTTGATTTCATTATTCCCATCTGTCAAAAACTAACTTTTTTTTTGTTATTTTTTTTTAATCTACTGCTTTGTTTTATACTACGTCGTATGTATGATTCCCAGTCAAAAGTCTTGTCTCCAAATCTGAGTTATATCTGTACTAAATGACTAAAGGCCAATATAAAGGCCAAGATTTAGGTGTCAAGGTAATAATAGTTTCAGATGCTTAATATGGCTGAAACTCGAGTACTTTTCATGCAGTTACATGACTAACCATCCAGTCTGTAAAATTTTTTAGAATGTGTCTCGAATCTTTTCAGTTCTAGCTGCCTCATTAGGAGAAATCATTCACCAATACCATTACCTTTTTCAAATAGTCTAGCTTTTCTGTTTGGCTGGAAAAGAAACCACTTTTGGTCAATGTAGTGTCCCAAAGTAAACCTGTTAGGAGCTCATCAATCATGTAAACTGTGGAGGTGAACCATGATTTATCTCCCTGTTCACATTGTTTCCCTGAAATTGGTAAGACACATTTTAATGACTTTTCAATAACACCTTTAGGCTAAACTTCTTTTCACTTCAAAAAATCCAGTACACATCTGCAGCTACTTACACCTGGATATGTTAGTCAGAACTTCCCTGGTGAGCTGTTTGCTCAGGAACAAGAGCAAAATTTATTTGTGTAGCAAGTCAAAAAACATAAGCTGCCTGCACATCTTACATGCACAGATTCAGAAAGTGTTTAATTTAAATTAATCAAGGTGGGTTTAATCCAATGATTCACTTAGAGAACTAATAAAAAAGCTACCAAAGGAGGCATTTGAATGTTGATATATGGAAACGGTCTATTCTCGCTGGATGTAACCCTGTAAATGTGTGGTTGCTTCCTAGCTTCTCTGTTCCATTCTGCTTATACAGGAGTTTATTCATGTGTGTCCACAAAAACGTGGACAATAAAATCAAGAATCTTAAAAAGCCCTATTAATTTCTGTCTTAATTTAAAGCAATAAGACAAGAAATGAAGATATAAGAAATGCTGAACTCCCTTCCCATAGGAATATTTTTCAGCATAGTTTTTCTCTCATCTGGTTTTTGTAAATAGGTAAATATATATACATGTATGCGTACATACTTGTAACTGTATCTGTTCAGAAGAGAAAGTTGTGAATGTTTTTTAAATCTGCATGTATTGCATTTTAAAAGCTTTTGATCGTCAGACTATGACCTGATCTGTACATGGAGCCTTGGGAAAGGTTCTGTTCTTTTCTTTCTAGTAAATTCTGCACAAAAATATACCTTGTTTCACTCAGAGTTGCAGTGCTCAGAAAGGCACTTGTAACTTCTGCATGTTCTGCTTGCCTTGTTGAAAGCAGCCAACCATGTTTTCTTGTCCAAATCTAGGAAGAATCTTGAACTGACAATAATAACCAGGTATCTGTAGCTGGACATATCCCTTTATGTTCTACTTGGTGGTTTTTGTTCTGCCAAGTGTTTTCTTTCTCATGTATTCATGAGCCTCCCAATATTTTATTATGTCATTAAAAATTTATGGCTGGCACAGCACTGTTGTAAGGGAATTCTAAAATTAATAAAAGTGCAAAAATTGCAGGACATAAAGTTTTATACCAACCAGGATCTTTATAGATACATAGATCTTCCCCCTCCCCCATATATAAACTATTTGTGAAAGACTGTAGTCCCTTGCTTTGTCCACTCCCTTTGTAGGCACTAGGTTTTGCTTATGACAACATGCTATTCTTGGGAAATATACAGTAATTATATTGTCTATAGAAGCCCTAACTACCTGCTGTGGAAATAAAAACCCAAACACATATGTATTTGTTCAATGACACTGAAAGTGCCGTCTCTAGGAAGTATACGTAGAGTTGATTAGATTGTACTGTATACTTTAAGTTGAATTATGTGCTCTTGTAAAAACCCTCTTCCAAATTATTTAACTTCCCATGGTATAGTCTTAGAAGGTGCAAAAAAAATCTTTAGTGTTATCTTTTCCTGTCACGTGACTAGTGCAAACACACACAAAAAATCTTATCTTTTTGTTTCTTTTCTGGTACTTTATAAAACAGCATAACCGGTTTAGTGCCCAGACATTAAAGACTCCACTCGGAAAAGATCAATGTTGTGTATTCCACTCTACTTTAAATGTTTCCATTATATAACAGGAAAGATTTAGCCATAAGGGTCTTTCAGTGTGTGATGGCTGAAGATTTTTTTTTTTTTAAACAATCCTTCTCTACTGGAGACAGTGGTGACATCTGACCAGAAAACCCGCTCTACTATTTGTAGGAGTTGAGGGTTCTGCTTGGACCCAGGAACAGTACCTGTGCAGGAGCATCTTTAGGCTGAGAAGAATATACCTCCTCCATTCAGCTGTACCATCCTCGTGTGTGTACTGCAACTCAGCAGCTGTGATAAGCAGTTTGATCTTGACCTGCCAGTCATGTCAATAAAAATACTTGATGTGTGTTTCAAACGTTTTAGGTATATTTGAGTAATCAGTGTACAGGCTACTTGAGAAATAGGTGCCATATAGATTATTTAACTTTGATCTATTTCTTTGATTTAGCACTACAATTAAGTAGATTTGCTTCAAAGAGAAAGCTCATTGGTTGATGTTTTACACTGATGTGATAATGTTTACACAGATGTGCTTTGAAATCTCGATTATGGTGGATTTTTGGGTCCCACCACATGACAGGCTCCTGTTATCTAAAAGGTAAAATAATATAACATCTATCTGTAACTGCCTTCAGAGCGGGTCCGCCTGTGCTCTCTTCTGAGGTGATTTATCTGATCATTGTATTTAGCATTAATTTTTTTTCAGTTTTAAATCCTTCCACAGTAAATCACTTGCTTTAAAGCAGCCTTTTTATAATTCAGGTGCACACAGGGGTAGTACTTAGGACTGCAGTGATGAAAAGGTGTAGCATTACCTGCTTTAAAGCACCTGCCAATTAATTAGCCCTATACTCTCCATAGCAAATAAAGGTAAGCAATCAAATCCATTTGATCTCTCAGATTTAGACTGGGACTGAAAAGACCATGAAGCAAGACAGGAGAACTAATCTCTCATGATTCTCTGCAACTTTTTTGTTTAAATGAAACCCTAAACTGCCAAGTGATTCTCTTGAACTTTTGAAAGAATTAACTATGAAAGATCTTTGCATTTTATACTCTAATACCACGTTTTAACATTGGCAAGGAACTGCATTGCGTTCTTAAATCCTAAGATGGGTCATGTCGTTTGAGCCCTAAAATTCATTAGAACTCACAGAAAAAAGAGGAAAGATAGCAAAAGTTAAGCTATTAGATTTAATATAACATTGTTTTACCATTGCTGATAATGAATGAGCATGTGTTCCACCAATGCATTTGCATGCATGAGCCATTCTACTTTGGGGATGAAAAAAGAGCATATGCTCATCTGGAACAAGACAGCAAAGTGCCAAACTGTTTCAAAACACTGTGGAAAGACAACAGGGAACTTTCAGTAGATGATATTGCTAATTTGTGATGTTCCCAGACTTTGGCTATGGGCCCAATGCAAAACGCCAAAGAAGATGGATTAGATGAACCACTCAATTGGATGAACTCTCAATCTTTCTTTTTCTCTGCAAGTTTTGAAAATATTTATTGCAAACCGTGGAGTTGCCTGTTTATGTTTTTAAGACCTCCTGTCAATACCCAAATGCTATAGATCAGTTTCGTGTCACATTAATGATAAATTAAATGTGAGGGAGAATTCGCAGAGGGGAAAACACCTTCCTTGACTATGCCAATTTCTTTAGAAATCCCCCTCCTTGTAGTTGAAGCGATAAAAGGGAAGGGTAATGCATGTACATTTTATTAGCGTTTTAGAAACAAGGAGTAAAACTGTCAGATCTTTGTTTTTTTTCTTTCATGTGTGTCTGGGCAGGTCTAACCCTCAGGTAACGCCCTTTCTCCTTCTTCCCTCCTGCCTCTCCTTGCACCTGTCCACGTAATGCTCCCTCAGCTCCCGCCCGGGCCCCGCTCCGCTCCGCGCCGGGGCCGCGCCCGCGCCGCGCGTGTGCGCGCCCGGCAGTGCCCGGCTGCGCGCCGGGAGCGCGCCCGGAGCCCCCTCCCCGCCGTCAGCGCAGATCAGAGGAAGGTGCGAGCGGAGTTGGAGCCGGTTTACAATTTCAAACGCGGCCTCCCCGCAGCGCCTTCATTAGCATATGTCAGGGGACCGCCGTACATATATACACGCGCGCGGGGCGTACGAACATGTGCTTCGCTGCCTGGCTCGCACCGGCTCGGCTCGGCTTAGCTCGGCTCGGCTTAGCTCGGCTCAGCTCAGCTCAGCACGGCTCGGCTCCGCTCGGCCCTGCCGGCTCCCCATGCTTGGGGCTCCGCGGCGCACCCCCACATGCCCACCGGGAGAGGCCGGCAGCCGCTCTCCGCCGCCGCCGCGCCCTAGCCCGTTCGCCCCGCGCCCCCATGGCTCCGCTGGCCGAGGTGGGCGGCTTCCTGGGCGGCCTGGACGGCCTGGGGCAGTCGGTGGGTGCCCACTTCTTGCTGCCGCCCGCCGGGGAGCGCCCGGCGCTGCTCGGGGACCGGCGTGCCCCGGCGGAGCGGGCTGCCCGCGGCGGGGCGGCGGCGGCGGCAGCGGCGGCGGCGGACCTGGCGCACTTGCAGGGCATCCTGCGGCGGCGGCAGCTGTACTGCCGCACCGGCTTCCACCTGCAGATCCTGCCCGACGGCAGCGTGCGCGGCACCCGCCAGGACCACAGCCTCTTCGGTAGGCGGCCCGGCCCCGGCGTGTGCGTGTGTGTGTGCGCGCTGCCGCAGGAGGGTGCGTGTGCGGGTTTGTGTCTGTGTGTCTGTGTGTAAACGCGTCTGTGTGTATCGGGACGTTAGCAGCTGTGCTCTTGGGAGGGAGGTGTGATACTGGTGATGCTGAGGCAGGTGGATGAGCCCTCAGTACCGGCTTCGCTCTTTGGCATTAAGCCATGGGGTCTGCACCAGGGCAAGGTAGCGAGGGAGGGCTGTGCATCCTATGCGAGCCAGGAGATAGCCGTGTATTCTTTGCTCAGCCTGTGCTGGGGATCTGTAAGCACATGCATATGCCTGCAGGTTTAGTGGAGTGGGAAAGGTTGAGAGTTAGGCCGATCATTTTTCTATTCACTGTAGGTAATTGAGCTTCTTGAGTTTTTGTAGAACTATAGGTCTTGGACTTGGGAATGCTGATCCTTAGGCTGCATTAGACTGCTCTGCTACGCAGGATGTAATGTTGAAGCAGAGGAGCCTAAAATGCCTCTTTGCTCAAAAGCTTGAAATGCTTCCCAGTCAGGTTTCTCTGTCAGTAAATCCAAAAGAGATGAAGACAACCCCCAAATGCAAACATTTCCTGAGATATGAGAGTAAAACCTAAATATTAGTTGTAGGAGCTGGACATCTAACAAACCTCCTGTTGTCAACTACACGTGAGTTTTGGTGTGTATTGATTTAGCAGTCCTAAGAAGGTGATTAAAGAGTTTCCTGTCATCCTCCCCATAGTCAAAACAATCTGTTGAAATGGCTCTTAATTGCTTTTATAACACATGGATGTTCGAAGAAGTAGAAAAACGGTATTCAAACAGACCTTCTCAGAAGAAAGTTTTCCTACAGCATGTAAACATGAAATAAATCTTTGCTTTAAAGGGAAAATCAAGTTAGCCCCAGATCTAACATTTACTAGGCTTTTTAGAATTGTACTACCTTTATTCTACTGCTATTCTCAGTAGGTTTGTCTGATGTGGTTTCTTTGTGGGTTGTATCACCTGCTTATTATAGTTTTGAAAAAGGGTGGCTTTGAAAGTGATATCAGAAAGACAAAATACCTCCACCTCCTTTATGGGACTTTTTGCTTTAGCAAGTGAAAAACTAGGATGATTTATGTGTGATAAGAATTTTTAATGCTTACCCTTTGTAAAGGATTTTTTTTTTTTACTGTTTTTTAATATAACTAAGAAACCTGCCAAGGTTAAATTAACATTCAAAACATTTTAAATTATTGCATAGTCTGGACAGTCCATCTGTCTGAGAGTGAAAATTGTCCTGAAATCTTAAATAATAAGTAGACAAAAAGTCATAATCAGATGCCTTATATAAAACTACTTACCTTAGATTCAGATCTTTTTTTTTTTTTAATGTTTTGTGGTTTTGTTGCTGAACTGCAAAATCTTAGGTATGATTCTAGCACAACTTCTTTTTGAGGCTTTGTTTACATTGTTAACAACTTCCAAAAAGCTAGTTCACACGTTCCCTTTCTTTCATGTTTTATATATGCTGTAATCTGTGCATATCAGTTGGTTAAGTATGTTGGCTTACCCTTGCCAAATTCAGGCTTCATCTCTCAAATACTTTATTTTATTAATATATATTACATTTTTGGGCAAATGCAATATAAATAATGTTGTAATCCAAACAGTAGCAAAAAAAAAAAAAGGCAGCATATTTCAGGTGCTTAAAAAACCTGCACTGAAGACAGCAAATTGTGTCAAGAGGTGTGGGCCCATATGCTAGATAAGATGTCTGGCAAATACTTTTTTTTTCTGTGGGTAGATTGTGTTATATGAAATTCCCATCTGTACTTTGATTTCCATTCAAATGATCTAATAATGGGTGTGTTTTTTTAAGATAATTCTATAGAAGAAGTAAAGTATGATTTCAGGTAATTCAATCCTATCTTCCAGTGTTTGAATAGGCAGTTTAGCAAATAGTGTACAATCATTATAGATTCCAACAGCAGAGTACTGGTGGCTTTAGCCTTGTGCTGAATAAAATCCTTTCATATTCACCATTAAAAAAAAAAATTTCTTAAATAATGTGGAATTCATGTTCCTAGATAAGGCTTCTCAGAATGCTTACCTGTGAATGTTGAGTACATTTCCATGTAGTATTTGAAATTTCAGAGAAAGTAGACCACATTTATTATAATATGTGCATTTTCTTGTTTTCAACTGCGTTTTTGGACGCTATGTATTGTGTGCTTACAAAATGAATTAAAGCAATCTTTTTTTTCCTTCTAGGTATCCTTGAATTCATCAGTGTGGCAGTGGGACTGGTCAGTATTAGAGGCGTGGACAGTGGCCTTTACCTTGGAATGAATGAGAAAGGAGAACTTTATGGCTCTGTAAGTACCACTTCCATGTCAGCTCATACATCTTTGAGGTTTTGATTCACTTCTTAACGCTAGGCAAGAAACTAGCATCTCAGCTTTCAAAACAATAACAGTTTTCCCTGTTCAAATGTGTAGTGTATTTTTGAAGTATACAGTATAGCCTTGGATACTAAAGATTCAATGGAAAAGTTTCTCTATCCTAGATGAAAGGAACTGAAAAGAGTTGTTCCTCTTAAATAATGACAAAAATAGATAAATTAAATCAGCTATTGGAGCAGCATTTACATTATGTGCTATCTAATTTTATTTTATCAATGCTGTAAATGTATCATAGTGCATACTTTCTCATCAAAAACATGAAATGCAACTGGGAACAAGTTAAAAGGATAGTTTGAACAAATAAACAACAACTAATATAATACCTGACTTACTTTATGTATAGTTTATTGCCCCCTTAAAAATCAACAGGTGGGTGCTTCCAGGTACCAAGTTTTCAACATGAAAGCGTTCTTGCAAATGCTGGGGAAAAGAGCATAATAGCATATGTCACAAATAAGTACCATTGTTATTTGAAAAATCTGAATGGTGCAAGAGTAGTGGCAGTATCTTAGATCCCAACTGGAATATTTGTGTATAAGAATGAAAATAAGCTTGTACTCATGACAGTTGATTTGCATCTGTTGAATAACTTCAACAAAATATAGCGATAGATTTTTACAATACTATCAGTATTGTACAATATCAGTCCTAATCTATTCCTTTCAAGTCTTAAAACATCTTCAGATAAAATGTTCTGTTTCTCAACTCTGGCTGTGGTTATTCCAGTTTAAAATGTGAAAAGTGATGCAGACCACAAAGAACATATGGAAATACCTTCCTGACATGTTATAGTGCACCTGAGTCCCTCCACCAAATCTCATTTCTAGAACATTAGATACCCCAAGACAGAACTCTACATAGTATAGTTCTTATAAGTCTGATGAATTTTAATTAGATAATAAATAAGTAATGCTTTTTTAGAGTGAGTGTTATCTAGCTCATGTTTTAAATCCAAAATTGTGTACCAGTCCAGGTTTCCAAACTTGGTGTCAGGTCCACATACTCTCCTTGCTTTTGGTTTGTTGACAGTTAAATGAATAGTAAGGCTACACAAAGCCTAAAGCATTTTGTTAATTATATATTTTTTCATGTCTTCATATATCTAGTGACAGCTTAACTTATTTTTCCTTGCTCTTTCTTTCTGCAGGAGAAACTAACTTCTGAATGCATCTTCAGGGAACAATTTGAGGAAAACTGGTACAACACTTATTCATCCAGTGTGTACAAACATGAAGATTCGGGGCGACGATACTTTGTAGCACTTAACAAAGATGGTACTCCCAGAGATGGGACAAGGTCCAAAAGACACCAGAAATTCACACATTTCTTGCCCCGGCCTGTGGATCCTGAAAGAGTTCCAGAACTATATAAAGATGTGTTAGGGTACAGCTGAAGAAGGAAGGAGCTTTGGGAAAAAAACCAAACTGGAGCTGTTGCCCCTGCTTTCCTGGAACCTGCAGAGGTGTAGGATGTTGGATGCAAAGAAGCTACTTTAAGAAGGCAAGCCTCTGTTTTCTAACCTTTGGATTTAGGAGACAAAGCCTTCAAGCTGAGAGTGGACCAGCCACTTGTGATTTGTTTGGTAGCCAGTAACCGGAGGGAAGTGTGACTTTTTTAAAAATAACAAACTCTTTGAAATTTTGTCTGGATTATCTGTGGTCTGTAGATTAGCAAAGAACTGCCTACATCCTGTGAATGACACAACGGTGGGAAGAAACAGAAAGAAATGGACTGTAAAATAGTAATAAATCCTGAGAACTGTATATGAAGATTTACTGGCTCCACTTTAGTGATGGACGTTAGATGTTAATACATCGTAGTCAGAGCTGGAACTTTTCTCCAGGATGGACCTATTTATACATCTCCAGATAGCATATATTTATTTTATATATTTATTTATTAAAGAGTTTATTTTTTACTGGGATATGAAGAGAATACAACCCCTAACCCCAATGAGAAATCATTTACAGTGCCAATATTTACTCTGAGAAGAGTCATGATACAGAAGTGACATTACATAGCAAAGCATCCAAAATCTGAACATTCATATTTCATTGTATATCGGTTACAGATAAGTTTATATTTTATGCATATACCATTGCATTATAACAGTCTTTATTTGGAAAAGAATGTTTAATTTTCTTTACCAGTGAAGAGTGCCTTACAGATTTGTATCAAATTCAAATGCACATTTAAAAAGGGAATTAAAGATTATTTCACTTTATTTGGTTTACTGTTATTTTTAAATTGAGCGTCTCTTAGCACACTATGTGAAACATTTCAAACCTGAAACAATTGTGAAGAATGTATTGCAGTTATCTTGAAAGAAAAAGTAGTATTAGCTCTTCAAATCTTGATTCAAATCACAACACGCTTGATAGTTTTTTGCCAAAGTGTTCCTACTATCTTTACAGACACACAAATAGCTATTCTCTGTGTTACTCAAAATTTTTGTGTAGGGTTCTCATCACTATATAAGATGTTTTAATTATATTTTTAATTAATAGGCTTAAGGGGAAACAAGTTCAGAGTATGAAGTTTTTGATGTTGGTGAAAGAAAAGCTTCTGTGAATGAAGGTTGTTTCTCCACTGAGTACAGAGAAGCGTAAGAAGACAACTTTCTTATCTTGATTCCCCATTTAGGGAATACTTTGAGCATAAGTTTTTCGGTGAAAAGTGTCAGGACAAAAATGAGCTGTGTCTCTATGCTAGTTCCAGCTCTACAAGAGGTATATCACACTAACTCAATTCAGGACTGTCAGTTATGAAGCACAGAGTCATCTGCATGTTAACTGAGGGGAAAGTCTGCTCTCTGCAAGAATACTAAGGGTTAATGACAGACCCTGTATGATTTAGACCTAAACCTGCTGAAGCTTGTTCTCAGGTGATTGCCACCTGCATGGACAAGGTCGGCCCAGGAGAAGGATTACAGAAAAGGCAATTCAGGAGAGGGCAGCAGTATTTGTACTGTACCAGAGGTGGTTTCATGTTTCAGAGCCAATGCTCCCAGTGGGCTCCAGCTCAAGATAACTGTTTCGTTCAGTGTTATGGTATCCTATATTGTTCAAGTACTGCACATGCATCATTTAAATAAAATCAAGGTGTTAATGAAAAGCATTTTCCAGTACATAGCACACTTGCTAGAAGCACTGCTCTACCAGAACTTCTCCCAATCTATAGTGAGAAGTGGATGAACATAGATGACTGTGGACAAAATCATTTTGCTTTCTGCCAAATAGAAATGCAATGCAGGTCCACAAAAGCATGTTTCAGTGCTTTGTGGTTAGCAATATGTAAGTTACTAAGGTTAAAGGTTTCATTTAAATGTTCTGAAAAATGGGAAGATCTACAGTGCACTGAAAATGGCTTAGTAAAATAATGTTGTAATGCACTTCAACTTAACTTAAAATAATGATTTTATGGGTGATGCTGAGTCCCATTAGTAATACATCAGTAACTGAAGACAAAAGTATATGCTTTAAATAGGAAAATTTTTCCTCTCTATCTTAAAAAGTAATTTGTTCCATGTAAGTTGTGTAAAAAAGGAGTAGCTGCTGCTCAGGATATAATTCCCATGAATTTCTGGCAAACACTCAGTGTTTAAACCATACCAATAAGAGTTATCTCTCTTTGGATCTCTACAACAGTAACTGAGGACAACTCTAAATGGTGAATAATTGGCTGAAACTTCTGGATCCAAACACCTACCCAACACATAGGTGAGAGTGGTATATGCTTGCCCCATTCCCATTTTAGATATATGCAAGTAATCCTTGAACAAAATGTAATGGAGGAAGTACTGTGGTGACAAATGACTGCACAAAACGTCCAGAACATTGAAAAGCTGTCACAGCCTCCTTTTTAGTTCTGGTGTATTGTCATTAAAGAAATACATTGAGTTTTCCTATTTCATTTTGCTTGCAGCATTTATTTGGTCTCTGCTAAATTTTGTCCATCAAGATGTACAGATGCATTTAACATTTTTCTAGTTTGAGAATGGTGGATGCAAAAGCAACACCTAAAACTAGCTCTTTTCACATTTTAATAGACTAATAGCTTTAGTTGTCAGTGGTTGGGTGTTTTGTGTGTGGTTTTCACTCCCACTGCAGAAAGCCCAAAAGGATAGAGGGAGAGATTTGTTCTGTTTAACCAGTAGAATTAATGATCTAGTTTACCAATCATTACATTTTACATAACTCTGTCAATTGGAAAACTGTGGGCCACTCTTAATACTATGAAGAGGGTAATCAGAAGATGACAGTATTCAAGGTTCAGAGGAAGTATCTGAAAGCAGAGAAAATGCCACATCTTGAAATAAATCCCTGAATGATTGACTGCCTTATTTCTGCCTTTGTGGTTCTTTTGATTGTTTGTTTTGGTTTTTGTTTGGTTGTTTTTTTCTCCCTAGGGAAGGCAAACCAATCAAGGCAGTTAATATAGTTTGTGTAGTAGTTGCAGCCCCACTTTCTGCTTCCCATAGATTCTCCTATTAGCTGTAAAACTTGGCTTTTTGATCTCAGAGCTGGCTGGAAATTGAGTACTCCATGCCAGTTCTGTATTTCTTTATATGTTTTGGGTTTTGTTGTTCTCTTTTCCAAGTTACATCAGAAATAATATATTGGCCCTATAGAAGATTTTCTGAAATCCAGGAGGAACCTTGGCTTCTGAGCATATTTGAAGTGAAATTGTTACTTCTATTAATGCAGAAAATAGAATTCTTAATAGTCTTCTGTGGAAGTTTTTCAGTCATAATACTTACTGGATGTAGGAGAACCCAAATCCCTCTGGAAATGGGTATTTTTTATTAGATGCACTTATATAATCAGAGAAAGTGGACAGCTAGTCTAAAAGGTGCACAATCCTTTTATTGATCTGAGCCATTTGTGTTTGCATAGAGCAGTTTGTTCCTGTCCATATCTTTGTGTTTTCTATCATAAGTTTATTGATACTGTCTTTCATAGTCAGGTGTGACAGCCACCTTCACAGAAAGTCCAAATCACTGGTATGGCCATGCACTCTGGTAGCACTCCAGGGTTCGGCAGAATTTACTTTCTGACACGTGAGGGTAATTTACCATATTCATAACAGCTTTCATTTCCAGCTACTTTAATTTCTTGATGTGCTTTGTTAACACTTTTTTTCATAACCATCCAATCTGGCTTCAGTAACTTTGTCAAGTTTACCTGAACACAGGCCTTTAGCAGCAGCTATAAGGGCAATGTTTGCGATTTATTTATTGTTAACTGCTTGTGTAATCTTAATAGTACTACTGTGCCGTGGCTCTAGTTATACCACTGCAAACCATTAGGCTTGCCTTACTCCTTTTGTTGTACAGCAAAGACCTAAACAGAGGTAAGGCGATTTTATACACCATAAATGAACCTTTACTATTGCCGTAGTGTACTGGACCAAACCTGTGTCAGATACTGAGAACACTGTGGTAGGATGCTTAAGTTTTTCTTAGCTTGCTATATGGAGATGCTATTGGTAAGGAGATCTTTTGGAGATCTTTACTGTATTTGTTCCTTTCACTTTTCATAGAAGAAAAACTATTGACTTCTTAACTGTTCAAATCTCTGCAGTTATTTGGTGTTTTTTTTAGTAATGGATCCATTTGAAGACTCAAGTTATATGAACATAACAAAAGCTGCGTGAGATAAGATAGTACCACATCTTCTGTGCATTGGGTGGAAAAAAAGGCAGGCGTATATTCTAGGCATTCTCCTCTATCAGTTCTCCTCTATTTCCTTTTATAATAATAATGGCCAGTCTTTGCAAGCGAAGATCCGGAGAAGGTCTTTACACCTTCCAGCCTGCGCATTGGATTTTTTAGGTGAGACACAGTGTGCGCGGAACTGAGCCCACCCTTTAATCCTAAGGTTCATCTGCCGGGGCCAAGCAAGATTGGACGGTGGCAGCGAGGTCCTTAGGACGTAGGTGGGTTGCCTTTAAGGGCTAACGAGCCCCACCTGCCCGGGAGTGGCCCTGACCGGGAATGGAACCCGGATCTCGGCGGTGACAGCACCGCGCCTTTACCACTAGACCACCAGGGGCTCCTTCCTTTTATAAGGCAGAAGAGAATTATACATTTCACAGTAGAAGAACATGATAGTGGAATTCAGCACTTCCTGGATGTCTACATAAACATACGCTTTTTCAGATATTTGTCTCAAAACAGTTTCCTTAGCAGCAGTAGTATGTCCAGCTTCTGTGGTGGAATTGTTGCTGTTAGGGTACCTAGTGTCAGTGTGCATCTGGATGTACATGTGCTTGTCTCAGTACATGACAATACATGCATTGCTAGAGAGAGAAGGAGAACAGTCTGAAGTTGTTATATACCACCAAATTGGTAATCAGGGAAGTTTGGTTTATGGCATTAGTTTTAACTCAGTTTTTGAAACAAAGTTTTGCAGAAGTTTTGACAATCCTGTGTGGGTTCTTAACATTCAGAGATTCATGGGCAGAAAACAGAAAGGTGTAAAAATCTCTCATGTGGGACATACTCAACCATGACATCTTTATGAATAAGTTATGCACAAATAGGAAGAGAAAAAAATCCAAACAGGGAAGAGGTCAAACAGTTACTTCTATTACCAGTTGGAGAGAGATTAAGTTTCAAACAGAAGGTGTTTGGCAGGTTGCCAAAATAACAACTGTTTCATCTGCAACATGATAAGACACTAGAACCATTCTGGAAGTCCAGGAAAAAGAAAAAAAAAAAAAACAAAAACGATTTAAAGCAGTGGTGACAGTAGCTCTGTGTATTTGAAATGCATCAAAAAATGCAATTGGTATTGTTCCCTTATTATAGCAAGTCTCTCGTAAATGCAATTCATGGGGAGAGGACTAAGAGTGTTTGGCAATCTTTTGACAGTGAGCTTAGTAAAAATCTTCCTGTGGTAAAATCCTGGTTTACATATTTTGTCTAGTTATGGGAAAATTGAATCATACTTTATTCCCACTTAAAATACCATAAACTGCATATTACTTTCATGGATGTCTTCAAGTCAGGAGTGTTAATTGATTTACAAATAGAACCCAAGTTAAGTAACATTTTTCTCTGAAATATAGTCTTTTAAATATGTATCTCCACTGTAGCATATATTTATGAAAGATGCTTTTCAAATTAGTTACAGGAGTTTCCTTCGTTCCTGGCAATAAGAGTCTCAGCTGTTGACTGTTTCAGGGGACGTGTTT